ATCTGAACTGCTGCCATTTCATTCCAGTGCTTTCAAATCTATTTTAATCAAATCTTGCAAAATGATGCCTCATAAAATGTGTCTTAATTACTAATGTCCTATGAATCACAAAACTGAAAATAAAGTGATGTTGCTTCCATGAGTAAGTATTTCATTGGTAATAGACTATAATCTACATGCCTCAATTTCAGTATTCAAGAATACTGTGTAAGTTTTCTTTGACTGCTGTGTCTCAAAAGTTATGCTTAGAAGAGCCTAATTGAAAAACCCCAATGGGCTGAATGCATCATGACAAAGACTTCTGTAAGGTTCAGCAAAGGGATTCAAGGCCAACGTCAAAATCATCAAAAGTTACATTTAACAGGATGCATTGTGCGTTTGTGCACTCTAAGTTAAAAATTAATTGACCATCATTCACACTGATGAATTAAAATTCATGTGACTAGCCATAAAAACATGAATATGACTGGGAAATACATAATACTCATTTTAAATACAAAATAGATTGGTTAATGGAATTGTAGTTTCTGATTTTGAGATAGCATGGAGTTTGAAAAAAACGCAAATAAAAAAATGGACATATTTCACTGGAATATATGTATGAAATCATCGGTGGAGGGGGAGGGATGGAGGAGTACACTTGCGTTTGAGTGCCTGTCTGGCCTCTTTCTAAGTACGCTGTATTCCTCTTCAAGCATTTATGAGATCCACCAGGAAACAAAGAAATATCATTCGGGTTAGCTTATTTACTTTTTGACAGCCTTAAGAACTTTATTTGAAATTTCCATCATAGAACACCCATTATTTGATTAGAAATGCATTAGCTGAGCAAACAGTTCTGTAAAAATAAATATCAATCTGATTATATTGGTGGGTTTAAAAACGCACTCAAATTCTTAGACTAAAACCTAATGTTTGGTTTGCTTTTTGTTTCTTTTTCTAGTATCAGTCCCCTAAGAACACTTGACTTGTATCTAAGATTTGTTTTGAGGGAGAAATGTCAATTCAATTCAGAAACCTCATAAATACCTCAGTGGAACAAGATATTTAATATTATCCACAGAATTTTATTTTTCCTTTATATAGAAAAATAAATTTGTTTTCCTATTACCTGAAGGATATACTCTAGACATTTTTTAAAGGCAATGATGGATTTATACTGGCTCAGAAGCACTTGATCATTTATATTTTTATCCTTAATATTTTATATTTTTTCCAGAATGTTCATCAGTATATTAATTACTGATAGAACAAATAATAAAACACAGATATTTCCCTAGAGAATCTGAAAGCCTAGAGGACAGAAAAAAATGCTGAAACAAAAGAAAAAGGAAGAGAAAAACTTAAGATTTGTTATGTTAGATATAAAATTCTATAGGAGCACAGAGGGAAAACAATGATTACCCTTGTCTGAGTGTAGAGATAGAAAGTGTTTCTTAATGTGAGTTTTGAATGATGAGTAAAAATTTACCAGAACTTTAGCCAGAAGAAAATCAGATGACAGAATATCGTGAATATCATGCATTTCAGAGAATTAAGCAGTTCACTCTTGAGGTTTAAGAAGAAAAATAAAGTCACAGGATAAAGTCGCAAGATCATGTTAAGAAACTTTAACATAACATTTTGGGCAATTCGGGTTACATTAAAGAATGTTAAATCCATCAGAATGGAGTAGACCACAGAAAAAGACTCAAAGAAGAGTTAAGGATGGGAGATTTTACTTCTGTAGGAAAGAAGCTATGAAGCCTTGAATCAAAGCAATGGCCCTGAATTAAGAAACAGAAAAAGATTAGAATGGTAGTTTAGACAATGCATTGAATTAAATTTGTTGATCAGATAATATATAGGCAATGTTATCAAATAGATTAAATTCAGGATTTCTAAATATTCTGGCTGGGAAATTGAGTAAAGGAATGGCAAAGGTCTGAAATAATAAATACTGGCAGTTAGCCTTAAATGAAGGAATCTTCCTTAAAATACGTCTTCATTGAAGAGCTTTTCTGAATGGTTAATTCAGTTATGAGGAAAAAGGAAATAACATGAAAACTTTTTTAACATGAAAAAGATGAAAATAATATTGTTTTCTAAAAGGAAAAATAGTATTGCACAAAGTCAATCAGAAAAGTCAGTCAAGAGAACTTACAGTTTATCATGACAGTTGACATCCACTAAAATAGATCAAAATATAATGTCCTGTTAAAAGAAAAGGTTTATATACTCCCAGGTATATATGAATTAAGAAGTAGCAAAAACTCAGTAGAGAAAATGCAGCAAAAATTCATATGCCTATGTATACGCAGTGCTTCTATTTTTCCTATAATTAATGAAGAGAGCCAGAGAAGTGAAAAACTTCTTGGGAAAAATTGATACAATCAGTGAGGACAGATTGCCCTAAGTAGGCAGAATAAAGGCCTTTAAGTCAGTACCACTGTCTTTACACAATTCCTAAATGCAGAGGTTACATTGACAAGAAAAACATGGCCATGATATTTACCTTCTGGGTTTGCCAGACATGGAATTCTATCTACGAGCCGGTTCCTTAGTTTCTCTCCATTTATAAACCTTCCAAGGCAATATCTGCCATGAAAATGGCAGGATGTAGAGGCACATAAGAGCTGTACAGATCCTTATATCATGAGTTCCATAGGGAAAAGCCATAAATAAGTGCAAAAACAGAGAGAACACCAAATAGAGTGTGTATTAGAGGCTTGTCCAATCTATTTAAAGCCTGCCATACTGCAAATCCCCATTCCAGAAGGGTTGCTGTCTACAATTTCCTGCTAAAAAAATGTGGCCCCAGAAGACACTGAGAACATGGATGTCATGACTTCATCCCTCGTTTCTGTATCAGTGGACTATGAATGTTCAATACAAAAGCAGCAATGTTATCTGCTGCTGAGAAACCTGGGAAATAGACTTGTGTAAAAGTACTGTTAGAAAGAGAGAATAAAGATCATCTAGCTCCATCACATTTTTATTTCCAGAAGTTGGAACTCTGACTCTCAGAGGCTATCTATATTTAACTGGTAGAAGAAGTGAGAAGATACAAAGAATTGAAGACAGAGGATGGTGGTTTAGTTATATAAATGGTGATTCATTGAAAAGAAATAGCAATGAAATATGTTTGTGTGGTTTAAACAAGATAGCCTGATTCAAACAACGTACTTTATTATCTCACAGTTTTTGTGGGTCAAGAGCCTGCCGCTGTTTGCTAGTTCTCTCTGCCTCAGAGGCTCATGTGAGAATTGCAATCAAGGTGTCAAATGGAGTTGCAGCCTCATTTCAGTGTCGGACTGGGGAAGGATTTACTTGCAAGATCACATCCTTCTTGGCATAGTTCTCTTTCTTGCAGGCTGTCGGACCAAGGTCTCTAGTTTCCTGTTGCCTACTGGCTAGAGGTCAACCTCTTTTAGCCGCAGTTGTTAGTCTCAGCTTCTTGTCACACAGGCCTTTCCAACAGGGCTGCTTTCTTCATCAAAATCAGAAAGTGAGAGTGACTGATGGTATCATCATGTATAACAGAATCCTATTCTATTGGCAAGAGGCAAGTCACAGGATCCACCAACATTCAAGTGGAGAGAATTATATACTGGTTTGACTATCAGGGAGCAAGGATAATTGAAGGCCATCTTTCACTGTATCCTCCATAAACACAATTACCCATCTGATCTAATCGACATCAGAATACTGCTTCCAATGACAACTGAGTGCACATGGAACTTTTACCAAAATTGACCGCATGCTGGATCATAAAGCAAACCTCAACACATTTCAAAGGTTTTAAGACATTCAAAGTATATTCTTTGACCACAGCGAAATTAAGTTAGAAATCGATAAGAAGAAGAAAACTAAAAAATCCTCCCAACAGCTTGGAAATTAAACAAAGCACTTTTCAGTAATGCATGATTTTTTAAAAAGGACATTAGGAAAAACTGTGATTAAATGTCAAAAAAAAAAACCCATAAAATATCAAACCTTCAGGAATGCAGCTAAGAACGCTTAGAAGAAAATTTGTAGCCTTACATTTCTATCTTAAAAACAAATGGTTAAAACTCAATTATCTAATTTCCCCTTTCAAGCAGAAAGACAGAGAAAGAACACACATCAAACTTTCAGTTGGGAGATAATAAAATAATGAAATTTAAAATAAATGTTAAGTAGAGGCAGTCCAAACAAGTGATCACCCTCATTAGTCATCAGAAGAATACAACACACATACATACACACAATAAGAGACCCCTACAGAGAAGAGTTAAGATTAAAATTACAGATACAATGTTGATAATGGAAGTTTAAAATTTTACAATCACAATTTATTATTTATTCATAGTATTTGCTAAAATTGACCACTAGCATACTCTTTGACCCAGCATTTCCACTCTGAAATATATAGTCAGCAGAGATGTGTGCATGTTGTCTCTAAAAGATGCAGGCATGTTCTAGCAGCATTCTTAAAGTAGTTAAAAACTGCAAAAGTCTAAACGGCTTTTAGGAGTTGATGAATTGATAAATTAAATTATATTAACACATAGAGCATTGAGGTTAAATGAGCTAATTATATGTAATATAATTAATATAAAATAACATGGATGAATCTTATAAATAGATTTTGGACAAAAGCGAAACACAAAAAAATACAAATTCTTTATTTAACTTTTAGAAATCATATAATTTTATATCTAATAAATATAATACATATTATAAATAAACATATAACTATTAAACCCAGGTGTAACTGATGTATGTTTGCCTTTACCTTTGGAGAGGAACTGATAGTGACTGGAAGTGTCATTTGGGGAAGTATCTATGCAGCACTGTTTCTTACTCTGAATGGTATCTACAAAGGTTAACTTTACTCACTTAATGAAAATTCATTGATCTGTATACATGTAATGTTTCAAATTCCTTATGTTTATGCAAAATTTTAATTAAAATGTATTTAAACTATTGAAATGCCTAAAAGCTCTTAATAAAAAAAAATATTACTAATGGAAACAGAATTTTGTACAATATTCACAACTCAAACACATGATATATTTTATAATTTTAATTATAATAGAACTAACTTATTATAGAAATATCAATGAGACAAAGATGTTCTTGCTGGGAATGCTCTGGGGTGCATTCCCAGCAAGAACAATGCAGAGGGTAAGTGTCCATTGCATTTCCAAACAAACTTTCACTGACCACAGACCATGAGATTACTGGGTTGAAAAGCGTCATGAATTTTGAGCATGGTGGTTTCAGCTGGTGCCGGGTTGGCACACAGAAACTCACACAAATCCTTGCAGCTGTTTTAACTGGCACCTGGAATGCCTGGGAGACAGAGCTGCCCATTAAACTGAAAGGGAGTGGGCAGAGACAGGGAGCCAGATGGCCTGGCTTAGCAGGTACCACCCCCACAAAACACGCAATCTGAAACTCTCTGGATTGAGAGTTTCACAGCAAGTGCAGCTGGACCCAGGAAGGTCCAGCTCAGTGGGGGGAAGGGTGACCACCATTACCGAGGCAGTTCACACTGCAGCTGGGCAGAGCCTGTGGCAACTCAGCAACACCCCTGCTGGCAGACTGTGACTAGACTACTCCGTGCAGGGCAGGACATCTATGAAAAAGGCAGCAGCACAACAGGAACTTATAAATAAAGCTGACCTTCCTTTGACAGAGCACCTGTGAAAAGAGGTGGTTATGAGTTTCACTGCTACAGACTTAAAAGTACCTGCCCAGCAGCTCTGCATGGAACAACGGAGCTCCCAGCACAGGACTTGAGCGCCTAAAAGGGACAGACTGTCTCATCAAGCAGCTACCCGACCCCCATATACCCAAAGAAACACGTCGTAAAGGAGAGCTCAGGCCGACATCTAGAGGGTACCCTTCTGGGAAGAAGATAACAGAAGTAGAACCTGGCAGCAACCCTTACTGCTCTGCAGCCCCCGCAGGTGATCCCCAGTCAAGCAGGGTCTGGAGTGGACCTCCAGAAGTCCTGCAGCAGAGGGACCTGACTGTTAGAAGGAAAACAAAGAAACAGAAAGAAATAACTTCATTATCAACACAAAGGACATCCACTCAGAGACCCATCTGAAAGTCACCAACTACAAAGACCACAGGTAGATAAATCCACAAAGATAGGAAGAAACCAGTGCAAAAAGGATGAAAACACCAAAAACCAGAACGCCTCTCCTCCTCCAAAGGATCACAACTCCTCACCAGCTAGGGATCAAAGATGGTTGGAGAATGAATCTGATGAATTGACAGAAACAGGCTTCAGAAGGTGGGTAATAACAAACTTTGTGTCCTTCGTAGGGACATGGATGAGTCTGGAAACCATAATTCTCAGCAAACTGACACAAGAACAGAAAATCAAACACTGTCTATACATTCTCACTCATAATTGGGTGTTGAACAATGAGACCACATGGACACAGGGATGGGAGCATCACACACTAGGGTCTGCTGGGGGGGTCCAAGGGAGGGACAGTGGAGGGGATATAGACATCGGAGAGGGATAACATGGGGTCAAATGTCAGATGTAGGTGTAGGTGACGGGGAGTTGGAGGCAGCAAACCACATTGTGTACCTATGCAACAATCCTGCATGCTTTGCACATGTACCCCAGAACCTAAAGTACAATTTAAAAAGAAGAAATATCAGTAAGACAATGTCAAATGTGCAAAGGATCTGAACAATTTATTCACAGAAAGTATAAGTGCTTGTTGAATATTTTAATGGAAGCTCCACCTCATTCATAACAAGAGAAAATCAATATGATACTATTAGTCAACCCTCGTTTTGTGAAAATTTGGAAAGTTTAATTATACTCTATTTTAGAAATGGTTTGATGAAACATAAACTCTTGTACAGTTCTGATGGAAGTGAATATTGGTACAACCACTATGAAAAGCAATGTGTTAACATTCATCAAAATAGCAAATTCACTGAATAATTGACCTCACAATTAGACTTCTAGGAATGTACAGCAAAGATATGCCTATGTATATGTGAACTGATTATGCACAAGTTTACTCATTGTAGAAATTTTTGTAATGGCAAACTATCCAGAAATAATATAAATGACCATTAAGGGGAATGGTCAAATGATGTGATGATTAGCATTATGTATCCACTCGGATAGGCTATGATTACCAGCAGTTTGGTCAAACACCAGTCTAGATATTACCGTGAAAGTATATTTTAGATGTAGTTAACATTTAAATGTGTAGATTTTGAGTGAAGCAGATAGTCCTTCATAATGAAAGTCAGCCTCATTCAATCAGTTGAGGGATTTAAGAGAAAAAATTGAGGTCACTTCAAGAGGAAGGAATTCTGCTTCTACTCTACCTTTGAACTCAAGGCATTAACTTCTTGCCAGCTGATAAATAAGTCTGTTTATTGGGAGAACACTAATGGATGCAAATAAATTATAAATACATTTTACAAATGAGTTATAAATGCATAAATGGCATGGTCTTCGGCCATAGAAACAACACACAAAAGCCCAGCATAGAGAAATGGGAAGAATTGCTATATATAACATGCAGATATGCTATTACAATACAAGCCTTTATATATTGAGTGTGAGATGATTATCATAGGTAATTAGTGATTAGTTCTATAGTAAATGAGAAGAAGTAGTTGCTAAGACCAGGGCTATCATATAATTAATTGAGAGTAAAAATTTGGATGCTGAGAGGAGTGAGGAATGTTAATTCTAGGTAAAGAAAACAACTGGAGAAGTGCAAGCCTGGGAACAGGAAATCTTATCCCAAGGCGATTGTAACTTATTGGCATGCTCTAAAGAGAGTTTTTCTCTGAAAGGAGCAGCAGGGCTGATAGGGGGAGGTCAGGCAAGACCGAATGACTGGGGCCTTGAATCCAGAAGCTGTGTCTGGGCATGTGGAAATGAGAAGTCTCCAACATTTATAAACCGAAGTTGACTTAATGCAAGACTGCCAGGCTTTTTAACTAGGGGGCAAGTGAGAACTCATGGATTAGTGTAACTGGTGGATTCCTGCATTCTGTCCTCATAACTGCCCTGTGCAAACTTTCACTAGGGCCTTGATGAAGGGGTAAAGGTCTAGCTGCTGTACTAAAAACTAAAAGGGTTTTCCCTGTATTTTTTTGGTGATAAGCTCTTATGTGATCTGAACTCATGAGTGTAAACCCTGAATGAACTAATGTGAGTCTCTTTCTTGTCTTTATTGATCCAGCTTACTATAAAGATCCTAATCTTTGCTGAACAAATACTAATGAATCAGCTTATAGGGTGCTACCCTAGACATCACTGGAGTGTTGACAATGCAGTTTGTTCTACCATAATGTACGTTTCTTTATACACTGACTCATATTCCACTGAAAATGGGAGCATGATGCTAATGTTGTGACACAGAAGTCCTTCTGGCTTGATTCTTTCCTAGTATGTTAAAATTTTCTCACAATTAAAGATAAGACCCTATGAATGTATAATTTTAATAAAGCAAGTTGAATGTCCAGAAAAGTGCAAGTACTAGTAGTGACTGGATTCGTGGCATCTAGAACCATTAATTTTCTAGAACCACTAGGTTTAGTTATCAGGAAAAGCTGCAAGTATAAATAAAAATTCTGCAAAGATAACTCCTCCTCTTATATTAGATAGCAGATAAATGAAGGCTACACCTTAAATCAAAGTATAGTTTTTTTTTTAATGGTCCCTGTCAAAAGTAAACATCCTTCATTACTTCTAACCCTATAAAGCAAGAGCTCTATGATTTCATGTTAAGGATTGACTAATTGGAGCACTATGTATAAAGGTCAGTAGAGATTAGCTGTGCCACATTTTTATTAAAATTGCTTTTTTGTTGTTTCATTGTTAATATTTTGATTACAAAATTCCAAGGGATTTTGGGGGGTCTGCCACAAACCTATTTTCCCTATAGGCCTTATTAAGTTTAGTGTACCAGATTGTGGAACACAAGGTTTTACAGCAACACACATATGGAATCATAGCAGGAACATCTATATATAGTATACATACCATATTCTCTTCCTAAAATCTGAAAAATATATGAATTTTAAATTGTCTTGCTCCTAGGATGTCTTATTAAAATTGTGCACATGCAAAAGGCTTATATACGAAATTTCCAGATGCCATGAAGGAGGGTAGAGCAGTGAGTTCGTTTGCTTATAAAATTGGGCTCTGACAACGTCCCTGCAGGCTTGAGCAATGAACTAGATCTAACAAGATGAAGTTCAACAGTAAGTACACATAGTATTTTCTTTATTTGAGTAAGATGGGTCAACTGATGAGTAGGTATTTGGTAATATGTATGTTTTAAATATTTTGCAAAGTTATTGCTGAGAATTTATAAGGACAGGCATAAAAACATAACTATCAGGATGGATCACTGGAATACACTTTATTATAGTGACAAATTAGAAATTGCATATAGAAAAGAATTGGGAATTTGGTAAATAATTATGATACCACCATAAAATGGAATGCCCAGTAGCCATTAAAAATGTTATAGAAGAACACTTATTGACATGAAAAGGTGTTAGGACATATTAATACGTGAACAGCATAAATGGTAAAGTAACCTACAGTATTGGCTTCATTTTTGTAAAACAAAAATGAAAAGATCTGCAGAGATATAAGCTAAAGTAACTGCTCATCCCTGGGAAAAAGTATATGAGTGTTTATTTTGTATATGATTTACCTGAGTTTCCCACTTTTTCTATAAATTACATAATTTGTTTCTGTAATAAGAAAATGTTAATCTACCACAGTCCTTTATTTTGATGAAAACAAATCCATTTTTAAAAATCTTAGATTTTAAAAAATAGAGCAAGACTCCCGTTCTCTCTCCTCCTTTTCTCTTTCTCTTTCTTTCTTTCAAAAAAAAAAAATAAAAATACTGCCTATTCACTAGCATTCATGATAGAGCTGTAAGCAAGAATTAGAGAAATACAAATTCTGAGTGCAACTGTAGCTTTGCATCATTCCAAATATGATCACTTGCTGTTCAATTTGGAAAAAAAGAAAAGAAAAATCATTCAGTAAAGCAGCATGTTTAATATTGCTTAGTTTAGGCTTTTCTAAATCTAGTTTTTTTTTCTCCCTTAACCACTGATTAATATCTTATGGAACATGGTTTGAGAAATATTCCATATCCAAATCACTCAAAACAATTTATTAGAACCTACAGTTTGTTGAGAACTTAGTATCTTCCATACTATCTCATTTAGGTGAAGTGACCTACCCCACCCGCCCCCAAAAATAAGGAAACATTTGGACTAATTTCTTTCACTAGGTTAGTAAAGAACTTGAGGCCCAGGTGAACTGATCTGCTTAAGTCACAGCTAATAAGGGACAGAGCTAACCAGAGACTCTCTAGCTCCTGGGCTGACTTCCTTCCCCACAGAACCAAGATCATCATTGAGTGAAAGAAGGAACTTGTAGCAGAAAAGGAAACACCAGGAGATAAGTTGCTGAAAATAGAGCAAGCTGAGTGACTGCTTAGACCAGAAAGGAAAAAAAAAATGTAATTGCCAGAATCATAAGGGTAGAAATTGAAGATATTAAAAAAATCATCAAATAAAAAATAAAAATACTAAAAAATTAGCTGGGCGTGGTGTCGAGTCCCTCTAATTCCAGCAGCTTGGGAGGCTGAAGCAGGAGAATTGCTTGAATCTGGGAGGTGCAGGTTGCAGTGAGCTGAGATTGCACCACTGCACCCCAGCTGGGGGGATAAAGCAAGACTCTGTCTTAAAAACACACACACACACACACACACACACACACAATCAAAACCAAAAACCCATCCAGTTCCATATCCCAGGAACCCCCTCACTTCTGGGCAAACCAGGACAGTTCAGGACAGCATGCACAGTTGGATGTAGGGAAGTGGAAGGGTTGATGGATGGAAGGTGAGCTAGCTCTTGATCATGGCTTCATTTTTCTTGGTGCACGGGGCAAGATCATGGACTGAAAGGAAGACAGGGAGGGAGGCTGGAGGCTGGAGGACGGAGGACAGGAGTGGAGTAGTTATCTTGAAAAAGGGACCCAAGAACTTGCTAAGAAATGCAGCAGCATTTCCGGGCAGTGCTGGGTGGCAACTTGAGATCTGTGGTCATAAATTTAAAGTGATGCCGTCTGCGTGAGTGTGGGATGTGTACTCTCTGCAAAGAGCCAAACTGCCAACATCCTCTTATAGTTAACTTATTGGAACAGAAGACACTGTTTGTTGTCCTGGAATATGGTTAAAATGGATACATGTTAGAAACACATTCCTGGTCCGTAGGACTGAGAGATGGAGACAGCAGAAGCCAACTCTTTTTTTTTTTTTGAGACAGAGTCCGGCTCTTTCACCCAGGTTAGAGTGCAGTGGCACAATCTAGGCTCACTGCAACCTCTGCTTCCTGGGTTCAAGTGATTCTCAAAAATAAATAAATAAATACAATCTTTTATAAGAAGCAGAAGTGATTTCCAAGTTGCCACAGAGCCAATGATTTTGTCCCCTGAGGAAGCTGGTAAGAACCCTCCTAATCACAGTCTACGGCACATTTAGAGAAGAAAGATGCTTTCGACAGCTCAAGGGGCCTCAGTTCAGCTCCTGTGTCCGGAGACCAGGCAGCCCATCTCCAACCTCGTCCATCCTCTTGCTGAGTCACCAGCTTCATCTTGTTCAGAGCCATGTCCACTGTGTAGAAGGACTCATCTTTAGTCAGCACAATTAGAATCTACAAGCTGAAAGATTATGGATGACTTCATAAGTCTCTTTAAACCCTTTGATTTCACGTAGTATTTTTTGGTTGTGTTATCATTTATGCTCAAAGATTTAGCAGTGGCTTCAGATATAGTAATACTTACATAAATAATGATTCTTTAAAATTTTAATTTCCCTAGGGAACACTCCTCAAATTTCCATTATTATATACTTGTTAAATGCAAGTATTTTTAACCAGTGATGTCATTACGACATATGCAAATATCATAGGAGTTTGGGGGTACAAATTCATACTGGCAATTTAATTTTGTATCATATTTTGAGGTTAAACATAACTGAGACCATGGATGAATGTAAATAAATGTGTGAGGGTGGTGTAAATAAAAGTGATGTGTGACAGAGTCTTCTTCCAGCTCTACTTACCACTCTTCTCAGTCTGCCAGTGGGTCTCACAATTCTCAGGTTTAGACCAGTGCTTGACAAATGTTAGCAAGCATCAGCAACATCTCAAAAGCTTCTTAAAATGCAGATTTCTGGGCTCCACTGCCAAAGCATGCCAATTTAGTAGGCACGGGGTGGAATCTGAGAATTTGCATTTCTAACAGTTTCCCAGGTGAGGCTGAAACTGTTGTACTGCACGTAGCAAAGGTCTACATGTAGATTCCAGATGTCTCCCACTCATTGTCTCATTCTGCTGTAGTCCTTCCTTTTTCTACTTCAAGGAACCTTTCTTCATTAAGGTAATAACTGATGATAATTAGCATATATATATTCATGAGTGACTCATCCCAGGTACTATATGAATATCTCATAAGAATCTTCTTGAGATGCTTTAATTCAAAGAAATGAAATTAATGGTGAAAGTTTTCTGTTTCAGAGAGGATGTTTATTTGGGCACAGAGGACTTTCAGCATCTCTCACAGCATCCATTACTAGATGTAGGTGGTCCAGTGTGTGAACAACAGTTATGTCATTTTAAAACACTGATGAAGATGAAGTCATATCTATAGGTAAATCAAGGCAGTTTAAAAAATGTACACATGCACACACATATATATGTATGTATGTATGTATATATATATATATACATATATATAAAACCAACTGCAAATAAGATGGCTCTTTTCCACAACTTCGTGCATCAGGATATGTAACAGATGTCAAGTGAAGTGACAGGGTTTAGGATGATGTTCGTGAATTAAAGGGCAGATGTCAGTTTCAAGTGACGTGTTTTCTATAATACACTGTCTTTCTTTGTTTATCTTTCAGATGCAATCTATAAAGCAACTGTTCACCTCTTTATTCTTGGGTAGGGCATAGAAACGCAAGCCCAATCTCAAATTTAGTTTGTCGTTTGCCTTCTTGAAAGATATGATTTATGTTTATAATAAAGTATTTGAAATGTCATTTAATAGGAAAACAAATGGCCATAGGATTCCTGTGAGAAAAACAGGAGAGAGAGAGAGAAAAGAGAAAAAGAGATTTGGAACTTTGAATCAGACGTTTTTATCTCACTACACGTTAAGTTACATATTTTTATTCTAATTGTAAAAATTATCTCTCGATATATCTTTTCCATTTTTTTTCAAAAAGAATTCATCAGCTGGGTTAATGATGACACAAAATTTTAATATATGCATTAAACATTTAAGTTTTAATATGTTAACATGTCATAAGCTGTGAATAATAACAATGTTTTATATATGAAGTGAAAACATATTTTATGTTAGAAATGGTTATAATGCTTGAAAAGTGACTTATATCCATAACAATTTCATTTAAATATTGCTTTTGCTCCCCATCTATCTTAGATGCAATTTTATAGTCCTTTTAAAAAATTCATTTCAGTGTGACCTCTTCGAGACTGCAACTTAGTGCCTCTAGCCTACATATCCAATTGTACTTGTATTTTCTCCTATTCAATTACCTTTTAACATACAGAGAGTAGCTAGCACCCAGGTCTGTGCCTCATTCCCATTCTGAAACTCTCCAAGAATTACAACTTTGGTTCAGTTGCACTGCAGTAAGAGAGAAGGGCAAAAGAAATCTATCGAGGTACTCAGATGTTAGATCCCAAGGGTAGTTTTAAATGTCCTGAGTCTGGGCTCTTACCTGGCCCTAGAATGGACTTCAGAAACTTAATTCTGAAAAGCATAGAAATATATTACTAAAGGAAACCTTGAGAGATTTCTATGTTTCTTGCATTGGGGAACAAAGAAAGAGGTGCTTGAATAAGAAAGGAACTATTGTGTCATAGAATAGAACCACAGGCACTTTTTTAAAGATTTGGTTTTCATAGCTACTCTAAGATTCAATTACTACATCTGTAAAGATTGTTGATTTATATCTTCCTCTATGAAAATGCAGTGATAAAATGAGGAAGTAATGTTTGAGAAGATCCCAAATTTTTAAAAAATTCAGACATTACTATTACCAGGCATCTATTATGAGACAGATTCGGGAGTTGCTGCACATGCTTTCTAGAGATTAGATTTGCACCTCTAGTGCTTTGATGATAACTCTGAAGCC